TAAAAACATGTCTTATTTTAATCCTGATTAAATAAACCAACTTTATGTTCCTTCCTTTTACTTCTGAAAATATTTAATTCATTCAAATGTTGTGGGATTTGATGTCACAGTCATTGGAATCATTGGAATCAGATGCTAGAGTGGCCAAATTAAAGCAGACAGTGAAATCAACAACAACAAAAGAAAATTGGATATAAAATTTGAACGAAAGGGCACTGTTGTGCATTGAGTTGATGGAAATGTCTGGCAAGATGAGCAGATCTTTAGTGATTGGTTCAGCTGTATTGATTAGGACTTTTGAAGAATTTACTAAAAAGGGGATATTAAATGTAACCTAATTCTCTAAATGTTTTCTGTAAGTGAAGCCTTTGCAAAGGATTTTGCATTTCAGTAGCTCCTTGAAAAAAGTGAGACAATAATGTCTCTTTTGTATGTTATTCATCAAACACCATGCAATAGGTGTTAGGGTGCTTACAGATCAAGCAACAAGTATTATAATGCATGTATTATTTGGGCTTAAAGAAGAGTTACTGTGTCCTTGCAATAGTTGTAACTCTAAAGGTCATTCTCCTTCCAAATGAATTTGTCCAGGTGTTTGTTTTTATCAATACTTCTATCCAAATCAGGTGGATGGCAACCAGATTTAGGATTTTTGAGTCAGAGCAGACTCACCAGAGGAACTGCTATCATGACATTTAGCTTCAAGCTTTGAGATCTGTCGTGTTATGATTATTTTTTTTTCTAGTTCTGCTTATATCTTGCTATGTCCTTTTGGATATATTTTTTTTTTAAAAAGGCAAACCACAACCTAGAGCAGTTTTCATTTCCCATTTATTTAGTTTCCTAATTCTGCTTCAATTATCTTACACATCAATTTCTCGTAGCAAAACAATGGTAACAGCTGTTATTTCCCAGTAGTTTGTGAATTTGTATGAAATAATTTATTACACATCATGCAAACATATTGCACGTGGCTTCTAAATCAGCTTCAAACTGTGACTTCAGATTTGGTGTTTGTGACTTTGCAACTGTAGCTTGACATGATTATCTTATTTATAATTTGTTATGGTCTTCATAGTAGCAAGATTTTCATAACAGTAATTAGTTAACAATTGGCTGCCATCTTCATGTCAGTAAAATTCAGTTTTATATAGTGTGTTACATTACACCCATCCCAGAATTATATTTAATTTATATATTTTAAAAAATGAAATTGAAGAACATGAAGACATTTATCCTAAAAAAGCAAATAAAAAAAGGCTTACTAAGCAGAGATTTTTTCTTTCAAAGGCATTACATTTCTTTTTATGCAGTTTTTGTGAAACCACCAAAATATTACATCATTTAATAGAAATTGCACATATGACATTATAATTTTATTTCATAAATATATTTGTCTGAAAAAGCTCAAACAGTGATTTATAAGATGTTTATTGATATGCAGTCCTGGAAAAAAAATCTGTGTGGTTGCTAAATGTCATCCTTGATTTGATAGCACATAATCAGTCATTGATATACAGCAAATAAAATCTATTTCTCATTCTAAAGTAAAAATAAAGGTAATGCTTATAGTCTGTGTTCTTAAATAATTGTGGTACAGATTGTTATAACTAAGTGCTTCTTTTCCATAATTTGGGGCAAAATGATTTAGAATAACTGCCAGTATTATTTTTTTTCAGAATACAGTAAACCCCCAAGTTATATATTACATAAACTACTTGTTTGGTTTACATAAGTAATCCAAGGAAGGCAGGCTTCTAAATAATCCAATAAACCAAGGGCCCAAGGTTCTTTGAGAAAAATCAGTTTTAAATATATTAATTTAATGATGCAGAGTTTTGCCTTTCTGAAGGGAAAAGGAAGTTGAGGGAGTTGATTATTAGGGTGTCTGGGAACTAGATCTTAACAGTCCAAAGGTGTAAAACTACTAATATTAGTTTCTGTGTTGAAGATTATGCAACAGCTTTTTTTTTTTTTATGTCTCTAGGATTTCTGAGTAATGTATACTTATACCATAACTGAGCTTCTTAACAGTCTCTCCTTTTTTGTATACTTAGGGCTCCCTCCCTCCCTCTAAAGGGCTTTTCTTTTTATTTTAGTACACAGAATTTTTCCTCACTGTCCAATTAATTTTTTCTGTGTGAATCAATCTTTGTAGCTATGATATTAAAAGAAAATGCAGCAGTGATAATTTTGTAGCTGGTTGTTAGTATCAAGGGGTATGTGAAATTCCTGATTTCAGTAAAAACAGGGAGGTAGAATTTCTGTTAGAAAAAAAACTTCTTGCATCAGAGTGATACAAACTATATTTGGCTCAGTTTCTTGTTAACTTTACATTGTTGTCTCTTCATCTGTAGTTTCTCTGTTACGATCCCCTCTTGTTTTGATTACACATTTATGCAAATTATTTAGAAGAGACTTTCTAAATGATTTGCAGAGCGCAAAATAAATGAATGGGTCTAAGCATGCATTCAGGGAAGTCAACCACAAAGTGCTCTCTTTTATATAAAACAAAATATTCTGGGTTGAACATTGAAAAACATCTCTGGTTTGGCTCAAAGTATAAGGAATTCTAGCAAAATGGAAAGGAACAAAGCAAACAAAAAATACACCAATAATTATGAAAACCTTGATATTCACAGTCTTCTTGTTTGCCTTTCCCAAACGTCTTGTTCTTTTGTAGGAGTTGTACAGTTCCTGGGTGATGAGTATGTAGCATACAACTATGATAACAAAATTAATCCAGAAGATAAACTGGCAAATGTATGTAACAATTTCATGCCATACAAGTCCTAAGTAAGATTTCAGGTCAGCACATTTCTTCACATTCTCATATGTTGGCCTTTTGTCTGTCAGAATCATGTTTGGAAGGGAAAGAGAAAACATGACAATCCAGATAATTATGGACAAAATCTTAGCCGCTGATACTTTGTTAGTTCTTGATGACTTGAAAGGTTTGACAGTCTTCAAATATCGATCAATCGTTATGAGTCCCAAAAAAATAATGCTGATGTACATGGTGAAGTAAAATATGACCTGAGTCACCTTGCAAACAAACCCTCTCAGTTTCCAGGAAATCAGTTTTGCATCACTGAGAATTTTGAATGGAAATGTTAACACCATCAGGATGTCAGAAATCACTATGTTCTTGAGAAAGACAATGAAATTTGATTTGCTGGAGATCTGGAAAAAAACGCCCATGGCCAGACAATTCATAATTATGCCAATAAAGAAAATAAAGGTGTATAACAAAGGAAAGAGAACTTGATTAATCTTGCTGTCAGTGGTGCAGTTGCTGCTGTTTCCAAGAGGGCTGTACTCTGGTCTCATGGTGGCTTTAGTTGCTTTCTACCAAAACAAAACCAGCACATTAGTCATAAATGCCAGCCATTTTAAATAATGCTTGAATCCAGTATTTTAAACCATCTCTATATAAAAGTAACAGCATGAATAACAGCTTTTTTATAGAACTTGCAGTATGGAAAGCTTTTTTGAAATGATGAACACCCCCACATGAGAAGAAGACCTTTCCTGAAAGGGATGTCCTCCAAATGTTCTGGGATGTAGCTGCCAGAATTTCCAGCCAGGACTTGGCCATGCTGGTTAACAATTCTAAGAACCGAAAATCCAACCCACATGGGAAGCATTAGTTTGGGCAAGGCTATGCTGGAAGTAATCTGCATGTTTAGGAATCACAAAAGTACAAATTCAGGACACTTCAATTAAATAAACTTGCAAATAAACAATTGGCAGTTTAGATTTGCAGAGGATCAGGACATAGTATATCCTGTTTCAAGAACCCACTTAACTGAGATTCTAAATGAAAGTTTTCAATCAGTTTTGTAGATACAATGTTTCACTCAGAAAATAATATTCGCATGTAGAAGAATAGTATAATTAAATTCAAGGAAATGTCAACATATTCAAAAAAATAAAAGAAATTATGATGAACTCAAAGCACTTTTAATAGGAATCCTAGTGCGGGTCTCTCTCATAAAAATAAAAACAAACAAAACAGAAGAAAACACATTTTCTTCAGATCAAGTCAGAAATTTTCCAGCTATTTTATGTACCTTCACCCTGATAGGCAAAGTTAATGCCATTTAACTTTGAATCAATCATTCAGACTAGATTACCAAAGCAATAATATATTATATTGTGAACCAAATGTTTACATGAACATTTATGATAACTATTTTGTAACAGCATTCCCCCTTCAGTTTTGGATCCTGAATAAAATTTAACTAGAAGTATCAAAGTATTTATAAGATTTATCTCCAATGTGAACTTCATTCTTTACATGTTACATTTATTATAAAATACGATTAAAGAAAAATTTGCAAGCAATTATATGATTAAAGTAAACTTGTTTTAAAGAAGATCAAAAAATAAGCAGATATGTAGACTAAGCAGAGTTTTAAAATGAGAGCAAGTGTAACTGGGCATACACACAAACACACGTGAACGCTTTTTTCATTTATTTCAAACACTCATATTTAAGACATGTTTACATTTAAGATACATCTTAAATAAATTGTTATTTGAAACACCAGCATTTTATATATCTTGCCCAAAATAAGTGGAAGTGAAAATATGTTTATTATTAGAAGCTATATAACCCTAGCATGGATTGTTGTTGGATTTCAATTTACAGCAGAATTTTCCATTGTAGCTAGGATTTTAATTTAAACATTACAGGTTTACAACAAAACAAAACACCAAAAATCAAATTATTTTTAAAAGATTAAAATGAATATATTGAACTGTTTACTTCTGGCAATCATAAATAATTGTCTATTGAAGAGAATGGAAATGCAGACTAAAATTACAAATAAAAATATGAAGTTACCTTAAATATCTGTAGGAAACAGTATACCTGGATTGTCCTTCATTGGAAACAAGAGTTTCCTGATCTGCTTTCCTTTTTATTCTTTTTACTTAGGCTTGACTGACTGCTCCAAAGTAAGGCTTATATAGTAAACTCCATCAGCAGAGGTCTTTCTCCCAAAATAGAAGTGGCAGAAGTGAGTGAGTCAAGGCACACAAGAGGAAGTAAAAGGGCTTAGTAGAGGCTTTCTTCCTTTAAACAGCTGGAATATAATTAAGTAGAAATCCTAAGTGACAATTTCAGTTTTTCTACACTTACTACCCTGAAGGGTAATCAAACATTTTATAATTAAGAAAATAATTTAAAAACATATTTTTATACAGTAGCCAATATCATTATTCCATTAGACTCCACTAGAAAGGCTCTGGTATAAGCTAGTAGAGTCTGGCACTAATCTTCTGATGCAAATCAAATTAAACAACGCTTCTGATAAACAATCAAAAATACGAACCATAATATAATTTAAAAGCTTTTTGACAGGAACTATGCTAGGTTGCTCAACTACATTAATGTAATGAATGGCTTTCTGATTCGTGAAGGATGAGGGTACCTCTTTTCAGAATGGATTCAGTACTGTATTTTGTGCAGTTTTTATTATTGTAGAGCCTTGTTTTAGGGGTTTGTGGGGGGGCAAATTCATAAATCACGCACAAATTGAGTGGCATACTCTTGATCAGAGCTATGATCTGCTAATATTTTATCACCATCAAAAGGAATTTTCAAAATTTCATTGAAATGGAGAAAACCTATGCATGGGTAACCATTGGTCATGTTGGCTGGGATTGTTGGAAGCTGCACATTTTGAGTACATCAGCGTGGAGAAGGCTTTGGGTGAAATGTAACCTTAGAATTATACATTCTGAAGAATCCTCCCAATCAAATTAAGAGTACCCCCAAGTCTAGCATCTTATTTCCAGCTAGAGTTCACAAAATGCTCGATGCAAGAATTTTTTCTAGATATTTACTCTCTAACAAATGATATTTAAAATCTACTGCTTCTGAACATGGATTGCCTCCACCTCTGTGTTCACAATCTCAAGCCATAGCAGAGTGGTGCCAGTTGAACTCCATGCAGCATCATGAGTAATATATTTATCACAAACAGTGAGAACATTTGGTATTAAATACTGTTCTGCCTTCTCCCTGTTTCTGTGACACATCATGGAATCTTCTAAGGTGTCTGGAGTGTGTAAGCTCCTCCCATGCTATCCTTCTGAACTGGCTGCTATTCCCAGTCATGTAACAAACCAGGCATTCCTGGTTCCAGATAACTCATAGAAGCCTTCTGCTGCTAGTATATTTCAAAATGGGAGGACAAAACTTTTCAGGTTCCTGGCCACCGTATGACAACCTGTTTTCCATTTTCCTGATACTTCGTACTCAGTTGGAGTATGTATTCCAGCTGCATATCTCTCATGCTTAGCTCATGTTCTCCATAAAAAGGAAAAAAGTGGGAGAAATGTTGACCAGCTGGCTATGCCATGATCCTCCTCCCTGGAGGACTTAAAGGGTCTCTAAACCCCAAATTAGGTACCAATCCTTTAGAAATTGCACAGCTGTGGCTCAGAGAGACATCCCAATGCCATAACTGAATTTGGAAGTTGCTTGTGGTAAGGAGAAGGTGGTGTAAGTGCAATATGGCTTTACAGGCCTTGAATATGCTTTGTAAACCCAATACATGGGAAGTACCAGAGCTTGTGTGACTGATCTACCTATCCTCCATGAATATACCTAACCATCCCTATCTAAAGTTTTCTAAAACAAAATATTACTTCTGGTATCAATAAGTTTCCTAAATAAATTTTGTGTTGAATGGCTTCAGTTTCTAGTATTATGAGCAGAGAAAGGTTTTCTTCCCCCACACAATGTTTAATTCAATAAGCTTTTGTTCCTTGTAGTAAATGTGGTCTGCACTACTAACCATATTTGTTCCTTTCAGCACAACATTATAATATTCTGCTATTATAACTCTACAAAAAACACAAAGGAATAACAACCCTGTTAGAATCCTGAGTGGGCAAGATTTAGATTGGGGGTTCCCAGTGTGACACCCAGAATGCCAGTGTGCCTACAATTTGGCACTCACTAAGCTCTATCCAAATCTGAACTTTTTACATTAAAGGAGAAAAAAAAAAAGCAAAAATGGGAAACCCACATGTAGCAAAACAAAGTGCTATTCTTTGGAATGACCTTTATTTCCAAGTATACTTATGGCCCTAAATGGACCCCAGAAAATTTATTCTATTATATAGCTTACAACTTTTTTCTTTTCTTTTCTTTTTTCTCTTCTCTTCTCTTCTCTTCTCTTCTCTTCTCTTCTCTTCT